CGAAGATCGAAATTACGACGGTCTGAGCCGAGGTTCGAACCCTTAGCGGTGCCCTCAGAGTATAGTCGTAGACGTCAGGCGGGATCCTTCAGCCGCTCCATGAGTCCTTTGGTTTGGAGTGCCATCTGCACTCGCCCCTTATCTTCCGGTGAAGCTGTAAAGGGCACGTTGCGCCTGACAGTTTTTTTTTTGTTTTTTCGAATTATAATGGTATGGTGCACCCGCCTGCTCTAACGGTTTACGCTGGCGGGGTACCAGTGGAGGATGATAAGATGAACATAAGGTCAGGTCAGTTAGCCAAATGTGACAAATTTATCAGGAATTTATTCCTGAAGGTCAACCTGACATGGTATATTACTAGTAATGGGTTATATCCACATTACTAACAATCCCGTTCGACAGGATTAAGGTAGTCCGAAAAAAAACGGAGCTAACGCAGTCGTTGCACTTGTACATTCAATTTCGGTGACAGAATTAAGGTAGTCCGAAAAAAAAGGGAGCTCACGCAGTCGTTGCACTTGTACATTCAATTTCGGTGACAGAATTAAGGTAGTCCGAAAAAAAAGGGAGCTCACGCAGTCGTTGCACTTGTACATTCAATTTCGGTGACAGAATTAAGGTAGTCCGAAAAAACAACAGAGCTCACGCAGTCGTTGCACTTGTACATTCAATTTCGGTGACAGAATTAAGGTAGTCCGAAAAAACAACAGAGCTCACGCAGTCGTTGCACTTGTACATTCAATTTCGGTGACAGAATTAAGGTAGTCCGAAAAAAACGGAGCTAACGCAGTCGTTGCACTTGTACATTCAATTTCGGTGACAGAATTAAGGTAGTCCGAAAAAAAAACGGAGCTAACGCAGTCGTTGCACTTGTACATTCAATTTCGGAGACAGAATTAAGGTAGTCCGAAAAAATCAACGGAGCTCACGCAGTCGTTGCACTTGTACATTCAATTTCGGTGACAGAATTAAGGTAGTCCGAAAAAAAAGGAGCTCACGCAGTCGTTGCACTTGTACATTCAATTTCGGTGACAGAATTAAGGTAGTCCGAAAAAACAACAGAGCTCACGCAGTCGTTGCACTTGTACATTCAATTTCGGTGACAGAATTAAGGTAGTCCGAAAAAAACGGAGCTAACGCAGTCGTTGCACTTGTACATTCAATTTCGGTGACAGAATTAAGGTAGTCCGAAAAAAAAACGGAGCTAACGCAGTCGTTGCACTTGTACATTCAATTTCGGTGACAGAATTAAGGTAGTCCGAAAAAATCAACGGAGCTCACGCAGTCGTTGCACTTGTACATTCAATTTCGGTGACAGAATTAAGGTAGTCCGAAAAAAAAGGAGCTCACGCAGTCGTTGCACTTGTACATTCAATTTCGGTGACAGAGTTAAGGTAGTCCGAAAAAAAAGGAATTCACGCAGTCGTTGCACTTGTACATTCAATTTCGGTGACAGAATTAAGGTAGTCCGAAAAAAACGGAGCTAACGCAGTCGTTGCACTTGTACATTCAATTTCGGTGACAGAATTAAGGTAGTCCGAAAAAAAACGGAGCTAACGCAGTCGTTGCACTTGTACATTCAATTTCGGTGACAGAATTAAGGTAGTCCGAAAAAAAAAACGGAGCTAACGCAGTCGTTGCACTTGTACATTCAATTTCGGTGACAGAATTAAGGTAGTCCGAAAAAATCAACGGAGCTCACGCAGTCGTTGCACTTGTACATTCAATTTCGGTGACAGAATTAAGGTAGTCCGAAAAAAAAGGAGCTCACGCAGTCGTTGCACTTGTACATTCAATTTCGGTGACAGAATTAAGGTAGTCCGAAAAAAAAAAGGAATTCACGCAGTCGTTGCACTTGTACATTCAATTTCGGTGACAGAATTAAGGTAGTCCGAAAAAAAACCGAGCTCACGCAGTCGTTGCACTTGTACATTCAATTTCGGTGACAGAGTTAAGGTAGTCCGAAAAAAAAGGAATTCACGCAGTCGTTGCACTTGTACATTCAATTTCGGTGACAGAATTAAGGTAGTCCGAAAAAAAACCGAGCTCACGCAGTCGTTGCACTTGTACATTCAATTTCGGTGACAGAATTAAGGTAGTCCGAAAAAAACGGAGCTAACGCAGTCGTTGCACTTGTACATTCAATTTCGGTGACAGAATTAAGGTAGTCCGAAAAAAAGGAACTCACGCAGTCGTTGCACTTGTACATTCAATTTCGGTGACAGAATTAAGGTAGTCCGAAAAAAAGGAACTCACGCACTTCGGTAAACTCAATAATAAATTCTATGGTACGTTTGTGCTCCACAAATATTGATGAGCGAATCATAAACGTACATTTATTACATTTATGTACACACATAAAGTAAATATGATTTCAACTTTGAGCGACGTACAAAGAAGTTGCTACATGTATCTGTAATAAAATATACAACAACAAGATGGCCTCGGTGCTCTAGCACCAGCCTTACTTCCGTTGGTCGCGGGTTCGATTCCTTGCAGGGTACAAACATTTGTATTCGTAACTATGATTGTTTGTTTTAGTTTGGGTGTTACCTATATCAAGTATGTATATACAAAGAATGTCTTTAAGTAGGTATATCTATCAGTTGACTGGTACCCATAACACAAGCTTAGGACTAGCTGGCGCTGTGTGAATTATCTGGGGTTATTATTAAGATATATTCTGTAACACACATTTATATAAACTCATATATGTAAACTATATATTCTAAAATATTACAATAGTAGTTTTTTTTGTGACTTCGTTTTTTTTTGGACGAAAATTTACATTACATCCTGTCCTGATGTCAGTAATTTGGTCGTGATAAGGCAACAGACAGACAGATATATTTATTGTATTGTATTGTATTTATTTATTATACACTAGCTGTGCCCGCGGTTTCACCCCCGTTAATTTTCAATTTAAAAAATATAGTCTATATGTTATTCTGATGCATAAGTTATATTACTTTGAAGTTTCATAAAAATCCGTTCAGTTTAGTTTTTGTATGAAAGAGTAACAAACATTCGTACTGATATACTTTCCCGATTATAATATTACTAGCTACTCGCCCCGGCTTCGCCCGGGTGTACATGTATTATATATATATATAAACCTTCCTCTAGAATCACTCTATTAATAAAAAAAAACCGCTTTAAAATCCGTTGCGTAGTTTTAAAGATTTAAGCATACATAGGGACAGACAGCGATAGCGACTTTACTTTATACTATGTAATGATTAAGATGAAGATAGTATGGTTGTGTGAGGCGGCCACAGGTCACGGGAACCATTTACCATCAAATGGACCGTACCATTTTTACAGATACTAGAGTATAAAGTCACAAATTAACGTTTTTAAATTGATACAGTATAGCAGGGATGTTATGGATATGAAATTTCGGATACGGATAGGTTTCGGATATAGAAATGATTATATACCGGATACGGATACGCATGCGGATATGAAAATATTTCGGATTATCCGTCAGTTTCGGATAATTTCGATTACAGATATTTTTTTTAAGGAATTATAAAAGTATAATACAAATAGTTACATAACGTGTCTCAATTAGACTCCGTACCTATCCGATATTATCCGACACATTTATTTCGGATTCGGTTACGATTACGGATATTTTTTTATATATTCGATAGTTTCGGTTACTCCCTAACATCACTGCAGTATACTCAATATATTAACGTGAAACGCGCATACACAGTTTTATAAATTGCTAATACAAATGTCTGAATTATGTATGAATATATGTATAAGTTAAAAAATAGTAATTTATTGCATTTGATGCTCTATGTATTATGTATTGTTGTAGATATAACATTCTGAATCGATTTCACTTTTTTTCTGATTGAATTCAATTAGAGACACAATTGTCTATGCTACATACAGCTGCTTGCACATCACAAAACATTCTCCGATATGTAGTTATTTAACTAATTTACAATAAGGAAAGATCTGATGTTTTTGTTTGTCATTACATAGTATAAAATAAAGTCGCTGTCACTGTCTGTCCGTCCCTATGTATGCTTAAATGTTTAAAACTACGCAACGGATTTTGAAGCAGTTTTTTTAATAGATAGAGTGATTCAAGAGGAAGGTTTATATATGTAATACATGTACACCTATGCGAAGCCGGGGCGAGTAACTAGTAATAAGATAAACGATAGTTAATCATAAAACGGTAGTGACTTGAAAAAGCGAGATTTTTAAATGTTGCGCAAGAAAACAAATTGTTTCGATGTTATACGCTGCTGACCTCGATTCGGTTTTTGGTTAACAACATTACGCAACTCCGCTCAGTCGGTTACAACCGAGAGATCGCCGTAAGCCTGCAGCTAGGAAAAAAGTAACGCCCCGACCGGAAAGAGGTTTACTTTTTATTCTTTTAATGATGCACAGAGCACAAATTGTAGAGGTATGTTGAACCGAAAAAAACCAGATTCATTTTATTAGGTCTTTCTTAAAGGAGGTTATTATTGAATTAAATTATATATATAAAATGTCTGACTTTCTATCCATACAAGTATATAATACTACTACTATATAGTACAGATTATAATTATTAATAGATATTAATAATAATAATGTAAGATAGGGAAAACATTATACACAAAAAATTTTACGTTCATAATCGGCTAAAATGTTCTACTAAATATGTGACTTTTTAATTTGATATTTTAAATTCAATTAACATTCAAGTGTGACTGATCACGAAACGCTTGATTGATAATTGTCAATCTAAAGTTGATGATATTCAATCATATCATCTTTACTCACTTCAATTAAAATAGATAGGTGATAGTGATAACATATAAAGTTCACGGGGTCATCCAGCTATTAATAACTATATTTCACCTATATATGTATAAAAATATATAATTATATTAAAGATAAAATATGTGTATGTTTTTACGTGTTATAATTCTCATATTAGGATATTTTATACAGTTTTTTTTAAATGGGATTAAAACTAATAAACTTACTTTTTAGGGCCCATAACCTTCTGTCGACTAGTCCTTCCACGTACAGCTGCATGTCCTGCTTGCAGCTTCCATCAACAACCCTCTGCAGCTCCTTCCATTGCTTCACGAGGATCTCAGCGTCGAATATCCTCAACATATTCTCGATTCCCAACAAACCGGTCGAGTTTGAACTGTCCCTTTTCAAGACTAATTTCGATTCGTTTAACGTAGTCCTTATAGAGTCATTCAGTTTGCTCAATACATCTCTACTCGGTTTTGATGTCGTCTTTTCCAATGTTTTCGTGGTTTTCACAATGTGCTGGACATTGTGCGATGCTTCCGTACTGGACGGCTTCTTAGCAGATTCCAACCCTTCGTCAAACGCTTCGGCAAACGACAAACCTTCTTCGTCAGCGAATAAATTGAACGAATCCTCGGTCGTAGTCTTTTCGTTTTTACTCGAATTAGGTGTAAATATCATAGAGCTTAATAGATCAGCTGTTAGCGGGCCTTCATCGTCAATACCGCCTTTGGCTGATGCCTTTTTAATGTTCTGAAACGCGTCTATTAAAGCACTTCGCAACTTCTCCTCTCTCGCGCTCTCTTTACTCTCACTTGACGGCAATTCCGCGGAATTGACAAAGTAAATTGCAGCACACAAAAATATAAGCACTGAACGAGACATTTTCGAAAATGGAAAACAACTATTTTTTTTATAAAACCACACGCATACTGGCAACACGGTTCTAAATTCGAAATTGGCGCGCGTTTCGGTGTCAAAGGTGCGCGCGCGGCGGCATAGTTGTAATGCGACTGGAGGCGGCGCGTCGACGCAGGGGCTGTGACATAACCGTTACGGAGTTAGTGCGGCACTTTCACTGAGCCGGGCGAAGGCAGCGCGTCTTGAAGCCTCGCTTCGTACAGGTGTACGGTATCCTTGTAGATAGGGTTGCCATCCGTCCGATTTGTCCTAGTTTAGAGGGCATTCTGGATAATGCAGTTTTTTTAGGTTCAATACGCTTTATTGCATTTTCAAGGATGGAAAGAATTAGCTGGTAAGATAAAGTAAGAAATAAGGAAGTATTGCACAGTTTGAATGAAAAAGGGCAGATATTGAAAGTAGATGAGGAAAAATGTTAGGACACTTGATACGGCACGATGAATTTATGAAAGTAATTATTAAGGGAAAGATAAAAGGAAAGAGGCGAAGAGGAAGACAAAGGCACAGCTACATCAAGCACATAGAAATCAGGAAGGAGTCGTGTCGTATCAAGATTTAATGAGTATGATGGAAGATCGTAGAAAGCGGCAAGAGCTCCACCGACAAGAGCGTTGCTCTTATATTTATGGTGACGACGATTGCTTTAAAATACCATAGGTTCTTTATTATATACAAAGTGAGCAAAAACTTATCATAGAGCTATCATAGAGCCAGTCAACCTAACAGTGTGGCATAGCCATTAGTGAGTGGGTAACACTAGTGCAACTAACAATGACAATATTAAAGTATATTAATAAATTATGTTTTATTTTAATAACAAAAAATATAGAATTTATTATTAAAGTAATTTATAACAAACTGTAATAACTTTTTTGTTAGATACGTTTAGAATGATGATAAAAATTACTGCATTCAATTTTAAGGTCTGAAAATAGATAGAAAGGCGATTTATGATGTTTTTTAACAATTTTTTCTTACATTAACTATGTTTATAACTTGTCGACGTGTTCCGTGTTTTGGACTTCAAAATCCGGGGTTTTCACGCGTCTAGTTCTGGTTTCCAAATTTTAGAGATGGCAACCCTACTACAACAACTATGGGCGCCGTGCGAGTGCGATTGCATGCGACCGAGGTGTATCGAGTGATGGAAGCCGAGCAAGATCGTGTACCTATATGTTCGGAGCTGTGACTGTCCTTATTACAATGAAACCTAAATTCAGTGTATGCAAGTACAGTGTTGTAATTATTATGTTATGCAATACACTCTTTTCGCACTTGTCGTTGATTCACTCTGTTCCTGTACAAAAAAATCTTTATCTTAATAATATTTTAAACACGAACTTTTATGAGTATGTTTGTTACTCTTTCACGCAAAAACTACTGAGCGGATTTTGATAAAAGTTTACAGTAATAGAGCTTATGCATCAGAATAACCATAGACTAAAAATATCAAGCAGGGTAAGCCGCGGCTGGTATACTATATCTAATATTGTGTAAACTAAGCAGACTATGAATGTGTCTACTCCACTGGTACTGTTGTTAATAGTATAGAAGTTCTTTATTCAAATAAACTTAATGTAAGCACTTTTATACAGTCACAGTTATCATTCTATTTATATACCGCTCATTCGGAAAACTGTCTCATCACAAGAATAGAATAGAATAGAATAGAAAATCATTTATTCAAATAAACTTACATTGAAGCACTCTTGAATAGTCATCACATTTTTTTTAATCTACACAAGAAAAAATAAAAAAATTGCTCTTTTAAATAATTTTGTAACTTTAGATTTTATCATCGAAACGTGTGAATACCAACTAGCAAGTAGCATTATTAGGATCAAATATTAAATACGCAATAAGATTAAATTAGTCATAGTGATTAGAGTACGCGGTCGTTCACGACACGTTCACGAGTATGACGTATGAGGCAGCCATACTTTAGGGAGCCTAATGACCCGGACCACCTCGTCGCCACATGTTGGACATTTTAGACTACTTAAGAGACTTTCAGGGGGAACCGCGTGGAGGTCATTACCAACAATCCCCTTCTTCCCAGTCAGGCCAATTACCATCCTGGAGAAGAGAATTAACCACGATAGCTTCCACAGCAGGTTCAGACTGGGCACATTGCAAGCAATGGGACTATGAGTCCCCATTATTAACAAATCCCTTTTTTTCAGTGAAGGTATATTTTCATAACCATAATTATGTGATGGTGCACTCGCCTGCGCTAACTGCATACCCTGGCGAGGCAGCGGAGGATGATAGGATGACCATGAACTTAATTCAGTTTGCCCATCATGGTAAATTCACCATGAATTTATCAAATTCAAATTCAAACATCATCTATTGATGTAGGACATTTTAGCCGCTTATGAACGTCAAGTTTTTACATTATAATTTTTTTTCCCTACCGTCCAGTTCGGTATATAGATCCAATTGAGAAGAACTGGCAAGAAACTCAATTGAATTACTTTTTTTTTAAATCCAGTTTATTTACAATGCATATACCTATGCATTGTAAATAAACTGTCTAACATTAAATGAAAATCCCGAACATGAAAACTATTGCCATGCACGCTCGTCATTCAAGTAATCGTTTAGTGAGTAATAGGCCTTGCTCAGTAAATATGATTTAACAGATGTTTTGAATTTATTTAAGGGTAATTCCAATATATCCTTTGGTATCTTATTGTAAAATTTTATACCTACTCCCATAAAAGACCTATTGACTTTTTCTAAACTATACTTGGGGACAGCAAGTTTGTCTTTAAATCTAGTATTAAAATATCAGGATGGTTCCCAGGGGTAGTCCCCCCGTCGTTTGACGTCGTACTGACGTCGACCTGACGTCAATCTGGCATAGAACATTTCTAATTGAGCATGAGATCAGGATAGTTAGCCCATCGTGGTAAATTCGCCATGAATTTATCACCGTAGTTTCCACGGGGTACTACGTCAACCTGACATGGTCCAGTGCTAACAATGAGACTGTTAGTCCACATTACTAACAAGTTCTATTGGGCAGTTTCAGAAATGATATGTCAATGCAGCAGTACTTTTATTTTATTCCTTTTTTAAATTATACTCTACATAAATTGCGTCGCTGTACATTCACGTCTGGTCGTCTCGGTCGCCTCGAACAGAGAGAGAGCAGCCCGCTCTCTTGCTCGCTTGTTCCCGGCCTCTTTTCTTTCCCACTATAGGTGGCGGTATAATCGTGACGCCACCAACATCACGTGACTCGCTATGGATTTAAATTTGAAATGTAAGTAACAAATTAGTCAACTGAGTGTTCTTTATGTATTGAAGCTAACACTACTACCCGTATGATATTACACTATATGATATGTTTGCGAAAGCCTCAGCTGTTGTATAACGTGAATTCCAATTGCGTCCTTGGATGATGTAATGGCGTCTTGCAGTTGGAATTTTAAACATATTATCCTTGACTTAGAACTTTCAATTCGTTGCTATACTTACTTAATTTGCACAAATTTCGTATGTCTGTTATGTAAGTTTGCATCGAGGCATTGAAAATTTTTATTACTTCATCAAAAGTTACAGTTTATTTATTTTAATTATTATGGAATAGTTAGAGTCATATGAACAAACAAGACCTGAATCTTAACACCGGCCCGAAGGGGAATAAGTTGGTATTTGTAGAATTAAACGCTAGAGGGTAAGGTACTTAAACTAAAATTAAAATATTTGTAAAAATATGTTTTTTTTATATTACATACTAGTAACTAACTCGCTTCGGCTTCGCACGGGTGTACACATGTATAATAAGCATACGGCCCATCTGATGGTAAATAAAGATGATGATGATGAAGAAAGAGGATGATGAAGAATGAAGAATGATATTGAGAACGAGAACGAGAACGAGAACGAGAACGAGAACGAGAACGAAGAATGAGAATGAGATTGAGATTGAAGATGCTTTATTCTTGGTTTCGAATATGATTGTTATTTAATTTATACTTTGTTTGCATTGTTCATAAGAATGAGCATGAGAATGAGTATGAGAATGAATAATGAGAATGAAGAATGCGAATGAAGAATGAGAATGAAGAATGAGAATGAAGAATGAGAATGAAGAATGAGAATGAAGAATGAGAATGAAGAATGAGAATGAAAAATGAGAATGAAGAATGAATGAAGAATGAATTATGTAAGATAATGAATGATCAACGAAGAATGATGGATGAATTAAGAATGAATTAAGTAATGAATGATGAATGATGATTTATGAATGATGAATGATGAAGGATGAATGATCTTTGATGAATGATGAATGATGAATGACGAATGATATTTGATCTTTGATGAATGATGAATGATGAATGATGAATGATGAATGATGAATAATGAATGATGAATGATGGATGATGAATGATTAATGATTAATGATTAATGATGAATGATGAATGATGACTGGTGAATGATGAATGATGAATGATGATTGATGAATGATGAATGATGAATGATGAATGAATAAAGGTTTTGAATATGAATGATGAATGAGGAATGAAGAATGAATGATGAAGGAGGAATTGAGAATGATTGAGGAATGAAGAAAAATATTGATGTTAAAGAATAACATTGAGAATGAGGAATTATAATGATAATGAAGAATGAATATCGATATTGAAGAATAAGAATGAGAATGAGAATGGAGAATGAAGACTGAGAATGCGAATGGAGAATGTGAATTCGATATTTCTATTTCTATTTCAAAAGAGAATGTGAATGAGAATTAGACTGAAGAATGAGAATTCGATATTATCAGAAGAATTGGGGTCCGGCAACGGGCGTTGTAGCGAGCGGTCGCGTCTTGTGTTATGGACCAGCATAAAATATAATACTTACAGAAATTACTTTGTCCAATACAGATAAAAGTAATAAATACTTAAAATTAAACAGAATAAGTGCAATAATTAAGTTTTACGTTAAACAATTTTACGAAGAAGGTTGAAGTTGGTTTCTTATCAGGTCCATATCTGGAATTAAATTAGTTCACCGATAACAGTATTCACACTGAGTTCTACAGCTTCTTTGATT